TCCGAAGCCGTACTCTCATAATGACCCCCTGGTCCCACAGCTCCTGAAGGGCCCCCGTCATTGCCTCTGATCTCCTCCGGTCTTTGGACAGGGAAGTAATCAGAAGCCTCGACGGGGGTCGTTCCGTCAGCTCTACTTTGTAGCCGTGCAGTACCAGCTCCAAAATTAATTTGTTGCTGGTCAGCTTCCCCCAGAGTGGCAAGAATTTCCCCAATCTTCCTCCCACCCTGAGCAACCGGTCATTGCGATTTATTGGGCTGCTGAGGGGGGTTAAAGAGGAAACTGCCTTTAGACTTCCCTTTGTTAAAAGCCCATGGTTTAGATTGGTCCTGCTTCTTGCCATAGAAGCCCCTCTTGTCTTTGCGGAAATTCTGCCCCCTTTGGCCACGAAAAAACTTCTTCCCCTGCTGCTTGGGCGGCAGTGGGAAGCCTTTCTTCTTATCTGCGGACCTATCCAGCACTGCCTCCAGTTCTTGTCCAAAGAGCAAGTCCCCTTTAAAAGGCAACCCGCATAGCTTCGCTTTGGAAGCTGCATCCCCAGACCAAGTTTTAAGCCACAACGCTCTCCTGGAGGAGTTGATCAAAGCTGTAGTCCGTGCAGAGTATCTGACTGCTTCTGCAGAGGCGTCCGCAATATAAGCGGCAGCTTTACTCAGCACCGGGAGGGAACCTAGCAACTGGTCATGATCTGTACCAGATTCCAGGTGGGTTTGTAGCTGATTCAGCCACACCCCCAAGGTCCTGGCCACACAAGTAATAGCCAGACCAGGTTTGAACCCGGCACTCGCCGATTCCCATCCTTTCCTGAGCAAAGCCTCCGCTTTCCTGTCCATCGGGTCTTTCAAAGCTCCCATATCCTCAAAAGACAGATCAGTCTTTTTAGAGACTTTCGCCAAAGATGCATCTATCTTAGGACATTTGTCCCAAAGACCTGCATCTTCCTCCGCAAAGGGGAACCTGCGTTTATGACCAGCAGAAAAAAACACTCTCTTTTCTGGGTGCTGCCACTCCACTTGGATCATGTCCGAGAGTGATCTGTGGACCGGAAAAGTGCGTCCTTTCTTTGCCTGGAGCCCCTTATATAGCTTGTCATGCACTGAAAGCTCAGTGGACTCTTCCTTAATATCCAGAGTATCCCCTATGGCTTTCAACAGCTCATCTGTCTCACATGATGGAAAAAGGAATTTCGTAGCTGGACTGCCACGCAACTCCCCCTCCGACTCATCATGATCCTGTGACTCATCCTGAGATCCCGAGGATTCACTGGGCGCTTGCTTGCTCACTGTACTCTCTGCGTATCCCGTAGAGCTACCTGCCCCCGAAGTACCTGGCAAACTAGTCTCCACTAGTGTACTCACCGGGGTCTGGAGCGCCGACCTGAAAGACTGAAATGTATTAACCATTTCCTCTCCCATTGAGTCCAAAAGCCCCTTAAAAACATTCCGGCTGACTCTTTTGCAACTATTTTCTCTAAACAAACTTTGCACAAGGGTTTGGACCATGAAGCTGACATTTTTGCAAAGCAAGAGGCACACTTCTTCCCTTTCGGGCGTGAGCAACCTGCTTCAGCGAGGGGCTTATCCTCCGTGGCTTTGACCTGCGTACGACAAGAGTGATGCCATCAGCCAGTGCTCTGCCCGCATGCAAACCATCTTATACATAACACTACCCAGCTTGCCCTGTGAACAGGCCCCCAATGCAAGCCAGGTAAAGGAAAGGGGAGAATCTACAAAGAAACTCGCCTACCTTAGCGCCCGTGCCATGCTCTCCCAGATCTGGAGTAGCAGCACCCGGTCCGGCATCTATGGGAATCTTGCAGCTCACTGCCGACCACGCTATCGGCCCTCTCCTGACGTCCCCACCGGCATTATGTGGTCTAGGTCGGTATGGATGGTGTACAGCTGAAGTAGTCGTGGCCGAGCGGCGTCTGCTGTGACAATGTGGAACCGAGCCTCCGCTCTTATGCGTCTCCAGCGCGAGGCAGCCCTGGAACCCGGAAGTGTCGCACCGGAAGCGCGTCATCGCTCTGACCACGCGGCGCGTATCCCAGGCGGCGACCGCACCCTACAGTGACGTCACCCGCCGGATTCCCATGCTGTCCTGCTCACACCACAGACACCAGCAAGGGGCGAAGAGACACGCAGCCCGCCGCGCGAGGCCCACACCTCCACGCTGCCGTCGACTGACCCTGCTCTCCATACCATCAGGTAAGAGCCCCCTACTGCCAAGGTAGCCGGGACCCCTGGACTCTTCCAGCCTCCCTGTACCTCTCCTATGCTGCCCCTGTCGTTGCCAGACCAATGTCCGCAACCTGGACTCAGCATTCCTACATCACACCTTGCCACTGCTGTACACCAGGGGGGGCCACCATCTGGCGCCTACTCACGTGCAGGAGGATGGTTGCCTTCCCTGAGTGATGGAAGGGAACCTTGGCCAAGAATCGGATGGGGGTCCGATAGGGAAACCCTGTATGCGCTGCAGCAGGTAATCCTGGAGTAGGTCCCAACGCATAGCAGGGTAGGCTCAGCCCTAAGGCAAACAGCCATGAGCCCTGAAAACAACAAACATTACGATGTCCCTGTGTAGCCGGCGGAAACACAAAAAAAACTGACTTGGGATGGAAGGAGGAGTCTATTTATTTAATGTGGTTGATGTGTTTCCTGTTGCAGGCAGGCGGAGCCTATATCTCGATGGCTGTCCTGGAAGATGACTGGGGAAAACTACTTTGTGAGTCAGAGCAGTGAGAAGGATGCCTCCAACAGGTTCAAAAGGCGGCTTTCTGAAGTACCAGAAGGACCAAATTTCACAGGGATAGAGAGGATTTGGCCAGGTAAGACCCCATGCACAAAGGTCTTGATCAGAGAGTGGAACGCCAATGGTCTCTGGAAAAGAATGACCCTTGATGACATTTGGGGGCCAAGCAGTGGCCCAGACCCAACTGCAGGAAATAAATTATCCATCTCAGAGAAGCTCCTGGGCTGAAAGCCTTTAGACTCACACCAAGCAAAGTACGCCTTCCACGTCCGATTATAGACCTTGCTGGAAGTAGACTTCTCAGCATTAGTAAAGATAATGCTTCCAGAGATGCCCTCTATTCCTTAGAACACAGGCTTTAAAACTGGGCCCGGGAGAGAACATATCCACTTGTTTAAACTGTTTCCTTTTGGTCATATATCTCAAAGTGTCAGCTGTCTGTGCTCCTTATTTTTTTCTCGTGGCGGCTACAGCGGTCTGAAAGGGACACAGACCACTGCAGCCAGCACCAGCAGCGAGAAGAGACTGCGGCCGGTGACTCTGAAATCCCCTGCTGCTTCCCCCTTGTACCTCTGCTGCCAGCAACTAATCGATGATGGGAATAGTTTCCAACTATTCTCATCCTTGATTTTACTCGATTTAATGGATTAGTTGTTGCAGCTCTACATATAGTTGTTGTCAAGTTAACAGACGCAGACAGACACTGCTAAATTTGATGTAGGCATCTAGGATTCAATGGCCTCTGGTCAGGAAAGGATTAATAAAGCATCGGCCTAAACACTAATCGGACTACATAAGTGTACAACACCTTAGCCATTCATTTATCTATCATTCTGCCAACAACATCATACCGTTACAAAATTACAGTTCAAATTTCACTTCCCTATATTTGTGTTCAGGCATTTAATTCCTATACAGAGCATTGACAAAGAGCCCAAAGTTTACTGATCATATCAGTGATTTTACAGCACTACAGAAGAAAAAAGCTTGGCAGACTGAAAACTTTGTACAGCATTTTTATATACATAATGTATTTTATATGCATGTGCCTTTCACATACAATACACTTTGCAGTACAAAATGTAATATCGACAAAATAATGTAAAATAAAGTTCTGAATTATTAAACGGCAATTTGGTAAACAGTCTTGCTAAATAAACAATAAATATAGCCGCATCTTTTATGCATACAGAACAAAAAGTACGGGGTTTATGGTTTTGATTTGCTGCCACTGTTACTGGCTGCTTAAACGATAGGAAAAGGCAATTGTAAACACATAACTGACAGGAGAGGAACAAATACCATTTACATCATTAAAACATGACAATTTGTCCTGCTTTCAGCTGGGCAATCCTTACGGCACATCATGTAGCAGTTTACTTCAGGGCTGCAGCTAACGATTATTTTCATAATCGATTAGTTAGCCGATTATTAAGTTTGATTAATCGTTTAATCGGATAAAAAAAGGCTCCAGTGATGGACTACTAGTTTCTATTGAGATTGTAGTCCATCACGGGAGCAAGCTTGGCACGGTAGAAGTAGAAAAAAAAAGCGTGGTGTGCAATATAGTACATTATACAGCAGCGCAATGCAGAATACCAGCAGCTACAGAGGAATGCAGCAATAGTACATTATACCATAATGTACTATTGCTGGGATCTGTAGCCCTCTGTAGCTGGCGTTATTCTGCATTGTGCTGCATATAAATGTATTATTGCTGGGATCTGATGTATTCCTCTATAGATGGCGTTATTCTGCATTGTGCTGTATACAATGTATTATTGCTGGGATTTGTAGTCCTCTATAGCTGGTGGTATTCTGCAGTGTGCTGTATAATAATTATATGGAGAAATGCAGAATACCAGCAGGTATATAGGAATACAATAAATGCCAGCAATAGTACATTATACCATAATGTACTATTGCTGGGATTTGTAGTCCTCTAACTGCTGGTATTATGCATTGCGTTGTACATAATGTATTATTCCTGGGATTTGTAGCCCTCTATAGCTGGTGGTATTCTCCATTGTGCTGTATAATGATTATACTGCGCAATGCAGATTACCACTGACCAGTTATAGAGGAACTACAAATCCCAGCAATAATACATTATACAGTGCAATGGAGAATACCAGCAGCTATAGAGGAACAACAAATCCCAGCAATAATACATTATACAGGCTGCTTAATATATTATTGCTGGGATTTGGTGTTCCTCTATAGCTGCTGGTGTTCTGCAGTGTGCCGCTGTATTATACAATGCAGAATACCATGCACAATACAATACAATGCAGAATACCAATGTATTATACAGCGGCACACTGCAGAACATTAGCAGCTATAGAGGAGCAGGAAACATTAAAAAGCTCCCGGCCGATCTCGAGTGACTTACTTTGAATTACGGTGGGCCCTTGGTTGTCGGCGGGCAGCGGCGAGTCGGGAAGCTCACCGGGAGGAGAGGGCCAGACGCATGTCCTCAGCGTGTGTGGTGGGTGTGGCGTAAGCGGGTTTACCGGCGTGGCGCGAGCGGCTTAACCAACGTGGGCGTGGCGTGAGCGGTGTGCGGGGAATTTGAATTTTAGGCGACGAATTGACGATGGAAAATGCTGAGAACGTTTTCCATCGTCGATTTTAATCGACTTATCGAATAATTGTTGCAGCTCTAGTTTACTTACTTTCTTTCTCATAAGATGTGGCAATCCTTCATTTGGATTCAAAGCTGAATATGCGGATTCGTCAACATGAGCAGCTGCTTCCCTACATCTGAGAAAGGCAAACAATGTAAAATTCTGTGGCTAGCACTAGATGGTTAGGTGTGCAATCTTAAACCTAACCTGTGGACAGATTATAGACATTCTTGTATTTATATATTTGTAACAAGCAGTAAATAAATAAAATAAAAACTTATATCCACACACATTATTATATCTATCGATATCTATCAATATCTATCGATATCGATCGATATAGATATATATTATTTTTTTTAAACGCAGATTTCTTTTTGTTGGCAGTCTCAAGCTGGCCATACACTTTACAACCATCGCAAGACTTTCGTTGTGCGATGGTTGTAAGCTAATTAAAAGTTCGAACAATCTGCCCATCTTGGACAGGCAGATCGTACTTGCGATCATCGCAAACCCGCCCCGCTGAGGGGAGGGCTTCCGATGTCTGCAATGCTGAGCAGGCAGTATGTGCTTGCGCACACTGGCCCATGCGGCATTTGTGTTACGAGAAGGCCACAAACCTGCCGAAAATCATGTGATTTTCGGCTGGTTTTAAAACATGCTCGTAAGACAAAAGGGTCGCACAGTAGAAACGGTCGCACAAATTCCATACACCTGCCAATTATCGTACGATTACGGTATTTCCAGCGATTATCGTACGATGGGCACCTTCAACCTTCTGCTGTCTCATCATTGGATCTTTCCCCCTTTGCAAAGAAGCCCTCCAGCTATGTTTGTTTTTTTACTCATTTTGGCTAGGGTTAGCTTGTGGGCTTACCAAAACTGTGACTGGCCACACGCAGACTAAAATAAGTGTCCGGATTCTGACTTCTCATAAGGAGCACACACCCTAGATCCCTTTCAAAACAGAAAATTGGTCACCAGCACTCCAGGTTTTCTTCATTTTTGTTTGCCTGATGAAGGGACCGGACAGGTTCCGAAACGTGTGAGAATGAATAAAAGGATTTCGTTTTGAAGAAAACCTGGAGTGCTGGTGACCATTTTTCTGTTTTGCAAGTAATTGGTGGCGCCATCTGCGGCCACTTCAGCACCCCCCCACACTGTATGGGGCTTTTCGGTCAGGAGTGCGGTGGGACTCTCTATTTGACTAGATCCCTTTCATGCACAGTTTACAGTTGGATTCATACTTCTTTGAGAATCTAATGCCACCACTGACCTGACAGGAGGGGAAGCTAAGGCGGTAATGCAAGTGTAGCCACCATCAACTTCTGTGATGTGGCTACTAGACATTTAGTATGAATTACGGTGGGCCCTTGGTTGTCGGCGGGCAGCGGCGAGTCGGGAAGCTCACCGGGAGGAGAGGGCCAGACGCATGTCCTCAGCGTGTGTGGTGGGTGTGGCGTAAGCGGGTTTACCGGCGTGGCGCGAGCGGCTTAACCAACGTGGGCGTGGCGTGAGCGGTGTGCGGGGAATTTGAATTTTAGGCGACGAATTGACGATGGAAAATGCTGAGAACGTTTTCCATCGTCGATTTTAATCGACTTATCGAATAATTGTTGCAGCTCTAGTTTACTTACTTTCTTTCTCATAAGATGTGGCAATCCTTCATTTGGATTCAAAGCTGAATATGCGGATTCGTCAACATGAGCAGCTGCTTCCCTACATCTGAGAAAGGCAAACAATGTAAAATTCTGTGGCTAGCACTAGATGGTTAGGTGTGCAATCTTAAACCTAACCTGTGGACAGATTATAGACATTCTTGTATTTATATATTTGTAACAAGCAGTAAATAAATAAAATAAAAACTTATATCCACACACATTATTATATCTATCGATATCTATCAATATCTATCGATATCGATCGATATAGATATATATTATTTTTTTTAAACGCAGATTTCTTTTTGTTGGCAGTCTCAAGCTGGCCATACACTTTACAACCATCGCAAGACTTTCGTTGTGCGATGGTTGTAAGCTAATTAAAAGTTCGAACAATCTGCCCATCTTGGACAGGCAGATCGTACTTGCGATCATCGCAAACCCGCCCCGCTGAGGGGAGGGCTTCCGATGTCTGCAATGCTGAGCAGGCAGTATGTGCTTGCGCACACTGGCCCATGCGGCATTTGTGTTACGAGAAGGCCACAAACCTGCCGAAAATCATGTGATTTTCGGCTGGTTTTAAAACATGCTCGTAAGACAAAAGGGTCGCACAGTAGAAACGGTCGCACAAATTCCATACACCTGCCAATTATCGTACGATTACGGTATTTCCAGCGATTATCGTACGATGGGCACCTTCAACCTTCTGCTGTCTCATCATTGGATCTTTCCCCCTTTGCAAAGAAGCCCTCCAGCTATGTTTGTTTTTTTACTCATTTTGGCTAGGGTTAGCTTGTGGGCTTACCAAAACTGTGACTGGCCACACGCAGACTAAAATAAGTGTCCGGATTCTGACTTCTCATAAGGAGCACACACCCTAGATCCCTTTCAAAACAGAAAATTGGTCACCAGCACTCCAGGTTTTCTTCATTTTTGTTTGCCTGATGAAGGGACCGGACAGGTTCCGAAACGTGTGAGAATGAATAAAAGGATTTCGTTTTGAAGAAAACCTGGAGTGCTGGTGACCATTTTTCTGTTTTGCAAGTATTTGGTGGCGCCATCTGCGGCCACTTCAGCACCCCCCCACACTGTATGGGGCTTTTCGGTCAGGAGTGCGGTGGGACTCTCTATTTGACTAGATCCCTTTCATGCACAGTTTACAGTTGGATTCATACTTCTTTGAGAATCTAATGCCACCACTGACCTGACAGGAGGGGAAGCTAAGGCGGTAATGCAAGTGTAGCCACCATCAACTTCTGTGATGTGGCTACTAGACATTTAGTGTTAGCCAGGCTGTAGTCCAGTTAATTCCAGGTGTCTGACATTGCCTGTACCCCCTGGGTGGAGTATGACACTGTCATATTGTGGGACAGCCAATGAGAGGCACTGTAGTTTATGTACAGTAGCCAATCACTGGGTTTCTCTCAGCCAGTGGTGCATGCTAGGATAAGGTACATATACTGGTGGGATTTGCCATGTGCTCAGACTAGCCGGGACCAGCCATGGAATAGGGCTGGGTGCTGTTCAGCCTGTCCCCTAGGCTAGGCCTGAGGGTGGGCATGGGCTGGTGAGAGGGAAAGGTTTCCCTCAGGCCTCCAACATGGAGGAGGCCTGTGTGGCCGATAAAGGAAGAGACCCAGGACCAATGCTGGCTCTTGAAGTACCCTGGAACTAAGAGGACTTCAGGAGTGTGGTCGGTGTCTTTCCTGATGTGGATCGGTGTTCATCCGCTACCTCAGTCACCATCTGCTGCCTCTTCAGTGGATCTACAATGATATGCCAACCAGGTCTGGTGAGTCTGGAGCTCTTGTCAGTTACCTCTGGAAGCTTAAAGTCCCTATACCCTCTCTCCCCAGTGATGTTCAATAAAACGTTATTCAGCATTTTACTACTTGAGTGGACGTCAGTCTGTGGGCACTAGAAGGGCGGTTAATGCTAATGGGTGGGCAGCTGAAGAACATACCCTAGACAGACTGGAGATCAGCGGCTCCTTCGGGGGTGAGCACTACACAAGCGATGGGGAGCTGCTGTAAATACAGCTGGCTCGTCTGCCGCTGACCTCCTGCTGTGCTGTCAGGAAACCTAAGACATGGGATCCTTAAGGGCAGGCAAACAGTAAAAAGGACTGCAGAGACTGCAGCCCAGGTCCTAACAGGCCGCCGACCGCTACTGGTCTGCGGCCTGAAGGTTGGGGACCCCTGGATTACACAACAGTTAATCACTGAAACTTAAGCATTTAAAACCGGTGTACTATTTACTCTATTATAATATTACTCTAATGATAAATGTGGTATACTCACTTATCAACCCAAAGAACTGACACCAGTTTTACTCCACTTTTAACTGCTTTGTCCCATGTGCTTTGACTGCCATCTTTAAAGACAACGTGAGTGACTTGTTTGTTCAATCGCTTTGTAACCTGTAAACACATAACGTATTCAGTAATCATTCCTTAAAGGTTTTCAGTTTAGTGACAAATGTGTGTATTTTCTTACCTTTGCACCCAAGTTAAGGAGCTGCTCAATAAAAGATTGAGAGTAATTCTCTGTTCTGCTGGATGACCACACTTCCACGTAAGCCGTGACACCTGAAAAAACAAACTGTATGTTAAGCATTTAAAAAGAAAGAAGAGAGAAAAAGACCAAGTGTTCCACCAAGTCTGCCCATTTTTTATTTTGTTTTTAACCTTTATGTCCCAAGCATTTTCACATTTAATTACTGTTGACACCCAGGCAGGAGCGAGCCCGCCCTGCACACCCAGGCAGGAGCGAGCCCGTCCTGCACACCCAGGCAGGAGCGAGCCCGTCCTGCACACCTAAACAGGAGCGAGGCGATCCTGTATATCTTAGGGCTGAGGTTTGCAGAATATAGTGATGAAAGAGTCCTCCAACTCAAGAACTACAAGCAGTACAGGAACCTTCAGCTTTTCAACTCCATTATTTGACAAAAATGATTTGCCTTATTCTTAAATCATAGTACAGTAGCACAGAAAAAACACTTCACGTATTTGAATTTCTCCCCAGATGGAGACTCCGTTCCTAGGACTGGAATAATTAAAGCAATGTGTGCTCAGTGACTATGAGCCCTTCTTACATTAGGGAAATGTCTCCATGTGACTCCATGTACACATATCACTCACTATGTGTTCTATCATGCACAGTCCCTCTTTGCACAAACTACATCCATCCTAGAGTGACAGGCGTTGGCATTACCTGTAAGGACACTGCCCGCGCCGTAGGCTGGTGACAAGGTCTCTACTACCTCCATGAACTTTGCAGCTTCTAGCGCTGCTCACCCGCCACAGCTTCAAACCCTACTTCCGCCCTCGTGACGTCATCAGCAAAGCGCCACCAGAACCACACGTGTACACTGCGGGGGAAGGTGGGGGAATGTGTTCAGTGGAAGGGCGTCCTGCTGTGCTGTGTGTGATTGAGCTCTACGGGTTTACTGTATGTAGGAATAATGAGATCTCCGAACACGTCAGGAATGTGACAGGCATAAATAAGGAATGTACACAGAACTCAGGGATTGTAATTACTGTAGATCTAAATCCTAACTGGATTACATTTAGTCTGATAAAGCTTCGTATATGAGAAGCAATTGCTATGTTTTCTTCATATCTTGCTTATTAATGCCATTGAGCTCCAGCAGCATATTTGCAGCCACTTCCTGCCTTCAGGCACACTTCAAAAGTGGCTGCACATCATTGCCCTGGACTAGCTTTCTGAGGGTGCCAGCTGCAGAACACACTTGCACGCCATGTGTTTCCATGGCTACTTGTCTCCATTTTAAACTCATGTGACAGGGTGAGGGGCAGAGTGTTGTCACCTCGTAACATCAAGTACATAAACAGACTCTTTGTGGCAGAGTCTCAAAGTGTTATTCATATAAAATAAAATCTGTAGAATTAAACAAAATGTAAGTTGATTTATTTGGGGCCAGTTCACACCAGCCCCAGTCTGTTCCGGTTTCCAGTGCGATCGCATCCTGGCCAGCTCTGCGTTTTGGGGCGGGAGGGGGCATGGCGGTGCATTAAATTGAACGGCACTGCAGAAACTCCCCTCATCTGCAGTGCGATCACCTTCACCAGAACACGTTGCCCATCAGTGCCTGCATTTCGGTCCAGTGCGATCTGCAAAAATGCTGTAAGCACTGCAGTGCAGGCGATCACACTGCGGGCAGAGGGCGTGGCTGGGGTGCCATTGACTTCAATGCCACGCCCCTGAACGCAGGAAGCCAGCCAGAATGCAATACAGTGTGCGTTCCAGACGCTGACCACTCTGGAACGCACTGTTTATGGTGTGAATCAGCCCTATTTATATAGCGCCGAAATTTTTATGCTGCGCATTACATAGTTGCACATTCACATCAGTCCCTGCCCATATGGAGCTTACAATCTAAGGTCCCTATCATGTATACATACGAGGGACAGTGTTTGAGAGGTGCCAATTAACCTTCCAGCATGTCTTTGGAGTGTGGGAGGAAATCAGAGTACCCGGAGGTAGTACACATTTGGCTGTGGAACTGATTTTTTTATTTTACAAGTAGCTTAGTGTAAATGCAAAGCCTGCCTCACATGCGTATATGATGTAATAGTGCCTCTCACCTCGTGACTTGCTACTAAGTTACAATGTTGCAGTCTGATCACAGAGGTAGAGGACACTGGCAAAATGTCACTTAACCTTAGCTCAAGGGCCGGTTTTAATAATTAAAGGCATATATTTTTTTGAAAAGTTGTACTTGTGTTTAAGAACTACATTGAAAAAGCTATACTTCTGCTGTTTATTGTGACATGCAATCCTCATTTACCAATAGGAAGACTTGGGTGTTGGACTAGGTAGGAATGGGTTTAAAATGCACACTTTTGTGACAGATTCACTTCAACTTGAACACAACATTGAAAGCTATAACATTTCTGGCACTTTTTATAGCTTGCTTCACAGTTGTATGTAAACACTCAACTTTAGTCTCATTTTTAGTTTTTCATTACTTTCTATAGTTTTATATAATATGTCCCATCTGTATTTAATTTTTTTTGTCAGTGTGTCATTATATGTGTCCATGCATAAATGAATGGTCTTCTGTACTGTGCACTTATGCATGAATAAGAAGAGCCTTAAAATAACTTTCTTTGTCAGCTATGGTCCTTCAGCAATCCCCTACAATCTGTTTCCTCCTGTGGACCTCTAATCTATCAGCCTAGAACTGCTATGAAGTACACTATGAATATCTGTTTATTGTTACCAGAGACAAAAGCTTCAGATGTTTTGCGGAGGAATTTCCTTTTGAAAACAATGCTATTATTTTTTCATTAATAAATGCAGTATTTTGCATGTGAATGGTGCCATTTTATATTAAGGAACCTTTGAAGTGTAATATCCGAAATAGGAATGTGGCAGTGAAAGGGGTTTAAGTGCTTTAAATTGGCATTGAGATGACTTGCTTACATTTTAGTTTGCTCATCTAAGGGAAATCATGACAGATATTTTTCTTTGATTTTGGCAGGCGTCGCACATTTTCAACCAGGTTTCCTATTTCCCGTAATGCACTTGGCTGTCTAAACACCAGTCTACACTGTAACAATGATTACTTTACTGTTCTTCACTTGCTAAATCACAAGTGAGTGTTTTGCTATTTTCTGCTGCTTTTTAGTTACTATTTGTCAGAAGGCAGAATTGCCTTTTGTGATCAAACAATCTGTGTGGCATTTTCTTTAAACTTCTTCCCGTCAAGTGACAAGTCTAAGGTGGCCTAACCCTGTTAGAATAGGTTGATGTACTGCTGCATGATTACCGCAGAGAGAATTCTGTAAAAGTTATTTTAAAGGACACTTATAACTGCCTTTTTGTATTTTTAAGAAAGTAATTAGACTGTTTAGGGAGTGTGTTGTGGCTGAATGGTAAAGCAACATGCTTTACAGAAAAGGTTTTGCATGAATTTAGGCTTTGATCTCTCTGCATATGATTGATCATGCTTACCTCTGCCTCTTAACTAAAGTTAAGAGTGCTCTATGTTTACCAATTCCTGAATAGCTCCAGCAGTTGATCTTCAGCTCCATTCTTGCTCTGGAGCCTAAACAAATCATAAGCTCCTACTGCAGGGGCTTCCAGACCTACTCCAGAAATGTTTGCACTGGCTCTAACACCAACACTATCACTAGCTACATCATCATCTTCCCGTTATGGTTTCTATATATTATTTGCAGTTCCAATATGAAGCCATGTAGCTGCCTTCACCATTTTGTTAAAGTGACACAAAACTAAGGAATTAAATCTTAAAAACACATGCAAGTACCTTAACTATTAACAAAAATGTATCTTATTTGTGTATCACTCAGCTATAGATCCTCAAATCATCTCTGAATTTGTCCTGACATTGTCCTTCCTTCTGGAACATGGCTACTTTTGGTCTCAGTGTGTGTTGTAAAGTAGCCACCGCTCCAAGCTCGCTCCTGTGATGGACTACAATCTCACCTTTAGTTTACTAAATTGTATTGAGATTGTAGTCCATCACGGGAGCAAGCTTGGAGCTGTGTCTACTTTACAACACACACAGGGACCATGGGGAACAAAAGTAGCCACCCTCCAGAAGGAAGGACAGTGTCAGCACCAATTCAGAGATGATTTGAGGATCTACAGCTGAGTGATACACAAATAAGATACGTTTTTGTTAATAGTTAAGGTACTTGCATGTGTTTTTAAGATTTAACGCCTTAGTTTAGTGTCACTTTAAAGTGGATCTCTCACAAAGGTTTGGTTAATGTTACTTTTTACAAATTAGCATACTAAACTTGAGTGGCCACACTCCAGAAGGAAGGACAGTGGCAGCGCCAATACAGAGATGGTTTGAGGATTTACAGCTGAGTTATTCACAAGTCAAATTTTTATTAATAGTTAAGGTATTTGAATGTATTTTTAAGCTTGAACTCTTAAGTTTAATCTCACTTACGGTACGATACCTCATAAACGCGTATTATACAAGCTGAGAGCTATGGGCATAGATGGAAGGGTGTGTACATGGATAGAGAACTGACTAAACGAACGGGTACAGAGAGTATCAATAAATGGTGCCCTCTCAGACTGGGCTAGTGTCATTAGCGGTGTGCCTCAGATGCTCCATGTAGTTTTGCCTGGCTGCAGACTCAAAACAAAAAAAAGAGTTCACTGTGACAGCTTGCAATCAAAAATATATAGGCCCCAAAGTTGGGAAGTTAGGGACCACACATATTAGAGGTGCCTTGACATTGCAGCGTGGCTTCCTCATAGATGTATGTAACTAAAACCTCTATTTTTAACCTGAGTAGTTAAACAGATTAGTTTGTTTTTTGTTACTGGCTAGCCTGAAAGTTTGCTGGGGAGCGGTTTGTACTTGTTTTGAATTAATCTCCCAATTAATGTAAGCAGATGCTCGGAACATTTTCTTCTCTTACTGCCCTGGTGAAGGTAAAAAGAATCCATGATATTTAAGTGCTGCTAAAATAATTCTACAAATTCTAAAAGAGTTTACTTAGAACAAAACATGCCACATTCACATTGTCCTTATGAAGAATGAAGTGTATGTGTAGCCAAAACTTTCATTTTAGTTTTGGATGGCGTAAGGAAGAGTAAAAGCCCATATGAGATAATTTTTAGCTGTCTATGTCCTGCTGTTGAGATTTCCCTTCACTTCCTGCCCTAGACATGCAACAGGATGTGAAAGGATATCTCGTTGAAGTGAGGGGAATTGCTATCTTAAAGGAGAACTATGGGGTTAGGGATTTTCCCCATAGTTCTCCTAAGGGTAACGGGAGGACACAAACTAGCGTTCTCCCGTCACCCAAAGCTCAGTATACCGCGAGCTACAGCTCACGGTATACTAAGACGCCGCAGCTGAAACAGATCTCGACAATTATGTCTGGATCCACCCAGCTGCGTGAGTGACAGCTGGCTCTGCCTATTTAGAGGCAGAGCCAGCTGTACCTGCCCCCTCCCCCGTCCGTTCCGCCAGTCAGCGCTGGAGGATCGGACAGGGGAGGGGGGAATCCAGTCACGGCTCTCTGCAGTGACAGGATCGAGAAGTGAGCGAACGCCGGTATGTGTTTGCTCACTTCCCGATCTACTGAGCCGACCTGTGACAGTTTCATTGTCACAGGTCGGCTAGAACTGTGAGGATGAGTGAAAATCACTCACCTCATAGTTCTCCTTTAAACAATGATCACCACACCATTGTCCTCATTGGAATATTTCCCCTCGTGTTCTTAGGACAGCTGTAAAAGTTTGTATTTCCCT